ATAAACAACGTGTGCTATATGCATTGCAGTGGAATATTATTCAGTTTTAAAAAACAAAAAAAATTCTGACACATGCTACAACATGAGTGAACCTTGAAGAAATTATGCTAAGTGAAATAAGCTATGGCCAAAAGACAAAAACTGTGATTCCACTAATGTGAGTTACCTAGAATCATCACATTATACAGACAGAAAGTAGAATGCTGGTTCCAGGAGTGGGGGGAAGAAAGAATGGGGAGTTATTGCTTAATAGGCCCAGAGATTCAACCCAACAAGGGCAAAAGTTGTGTGGAAATGTGGTGGTGATGGCTGCACAACAATGAGTGTACTTAATGCCACTGAACGATACCCTTAAAATGTTAAAATGGTAAATTTTATGTATATTTGTCCATAATAAAAACAAGCATGCAGAGTTACTATTAGATCAGTTTGTCTGATGTTTCATTAGTATGTATGGGTTTGCATAACTGGTTAAAGGGATTTGAGCTGGGACAGCTTCTCTGGCAGGCTACGCTTCTTTCAGCTCACATATGTCAGAGAATACTGAGAATACCCTCAGTATTCTCAACAGATACATCCCAAGACCCCCAGTGGATGCCTGAAACCACAGATAATGTAGAACCCTATATATACTCTGTTTTTTCTTATATGTACATACCTATGATAAAGGTTAATTTGTAGTTTACACAGTAAGAGATTAACAATACCTAATAATGAAATAGAACATTTATAACAATACTGTAATAAAAATTATGTGAATGTGGCATTATTAGGTAAAATGAGGGTAACTTGAACACATTCTCTACACCTCTGCAAGACAGTGGCTCTGAGCCCCAGACCAATACTGCGTGACTAACAAGCAGGGAGCCTGAGCAGCGAGGAAAGGCGGGACACAGGGATCAGTCAAGTCCTGGGCAGGCAAGATTTTATCACGCTACTCCAAACAGCTCGCAGTTTAAAACTCATGAATTGTTTTCTTCTTAAATTTTCCATTTAATATTTTCAGTTTTACCACAGATGTCCACGGGTAACTGAAACTGCAGGAAGCAAAACAGCAGATAGGGGGGACCACAGTATCTGCTTTGCTAGTCCCAGACGGTTTTGCCAAGTTGTGACTGCTATTTCAATTCTCAGTTCCCTTATCTCAGGCTAGCTGATAGCAGAGTTGTCTTTGACTTTTTCCACTCATTTGTTTGTTTATTTGCTCATCTGTTTATTCTTCTTAGCAACTAAAAGTAGTGGGTTCAGCCTGGGCTTCTCAATTGCAGGACTCCTCTAAAGCTTAAAGCAGATCTCTGAAATCTGCACAGTCTGTTCCCAGTCTCTAGCAAATGCAATGCAACAACATTGACTCTTCCAGGCACCAAAAAACGCAGAGGGAAACATGGCATGGTCTGACCTCCAGGACCTCACAGACTCAAGGGCAATAGATATAGGCAGTTAAGTGTAGGAAAGCATGATAAATTCTAGAGAGCAAATTATTCTATGCCTATATAAAGTATCTACCTCTATGATAGTACTTGCTTACATTTGGTTAAAACCCTTCGACAAAGAAACAAGCCTCCTTTTTGGTTACTAGAGATAGATGAGATTAAAATTTAAAATGGGAACACTAACAGAAAATGTAACACATTTGCTTAGGTGTCTCTGAGGTATAAATAATGTCAGAATCTTTCCTAAGACTAGATTTTTTTAAACAGCAGAGAAAGCAAAATAATTCCTAATTTATGCATCATTTCAAGTTGGCATCAGCAATTTTTCCGTAAGAGGCCAAATAAAAAATTTTAGACTTTGCAGGTCATTGCCAAAGATACCATATAAACAAATGAGTGTGGCTGTGTTCCAATAAAACTTTATTTGTGAACACTGAAATTTGAATGGAATATAATTTTCATAGGTCACAGAATAGTATTCTTCTTTTAAATTTCTTCCAATCACTTGAAAATGACTCTCAGAAACACAGGCACAGGCTGTATTTGGCCTGCAGCCTCCATTTGCCAAGCCCTGCTTTCAAAGCTGGCTTCTCCAAGCGTGGCTGGCAGCCCAGCAGCAGCAGCAGCATCCAGGTACTAGCCAGGAAAACAAAACTCAAGCCCCACCCCAGATCCATGGAAGGAGAATCTGCATTTTAAGAATGTCACCTTATGTTTGATCTGCACATCCCGATTTGAAAAGGGCAGGCTTAAGGTCTACACACACTCCAAAGCCAGACTTTGAGTCCCAGTGCAATAATACAAGTGACCAGAGAAGCGGCCCTGGAGAAGTTCTGAGCTGCTCTGGGCCTCAGTCTCCCTTTGTGCAAGATAGAGGTGATAGCATTGTCTCCTTCAGCATGGTTGTGAAACTTATACACACATGCACACACACACAGAGCTGAAATAATGTCATTACTATTGCAAAATCTCACATTATGCTATTTTCACATCCACGCTCTCAGACAGGCACTGTTTACCCCATTTCACAGAAGAAACTGTGGCCCAGGAAATTGGGGTCACAGAACAAAAGACCTTGTTTCCAGATTTAGTGCTGAGGATAATGGAGTATTCAAGGGTACAAAAGGGAACAGTCCCCAGGCTCCCAGGTCTTCATATCCACATCTCCCTTCTAATGGTTCACTCTCACAGGCTATGCTGATAACTGCCTCAGAAAAGTCCCTCCAGGAGGAGAAAAGGAGAAGAATTGATTTATTGGCCACTGTCTCCCACTGATGAAGGTTCACCGCTCCTGATAGGCCCCCACTCCCAAGTGCACAGCTCCCCAAATCAGCTACCCAGAGATCTCCCTGAATCTGTGCCCAAAGTTACTCTTTCATCCCTTGAAATACATCTTCCATTAAGTTGTGTAGTGTTTTTTTATAACTTTTTCTAGTTGTAGATTGTAAATTTTCCTTCTGCTGAGTCTTATAGCTGTTTTTTATCATATTTGTAGGGCTCAGGGAAAAAAAAGCAATTCCTTTATTTGAGCATCCTGACATTTATTAGCATAATAAAATTCTCAGGATGAAATTGCAGTTTTCCAGACAGTAATTTTATTTTTAGGACAACTTATAAGAAATTTATTTTAAGGCCAGGTAAAACCCAAAACATATGAGACATGCAGAAAGTGCAGGCCCCAAACAAAGTGAAGTAACTATGTCAGGCACAGACACCTCCGCCGTCATCGCTCACATGTTAGTTAGGGTGACAGGAACAATGGCTCAGGGGTTCAGGTTCTCTGCCCATCTCCGTCAGCTTCAAAAGCTGTTGCTAGTTCTTGGAATTAAAACTTTCTTCTAATGCCTGGAAAATCATCACATCCTGTCTCCTTTACACATCACTGCTAAGCACGAAATAATTGTTGCTATTGTGGTAGTTTCTATTAGAAATACACTTTCACTTGGACAGAGATTTTATACTTATCATTAAACTGATCTGCAAAAAAACTTAGTGATGGCCCTACAGAAAATTCTCTTCTCAGTTACAATGAGCTTTAGTGTGGTTAAGTGACTTGAATAAAGTCAGACAGTGGGTAAGTAGTGTAGCCAAAGCTAAAATTTGGTTCCTCCAAGTCTAACAGAAAGAAGGTAATTTTAACAATATCAGTTATGGTTTTTAAAGCACTTTAGAGTTCAGAAAGCAGGTTCTTTCTATCACTGTATTTTATCCTCAGGGGCCTGTGAGACAGGCAGACAGGAGGGAAGCTCTGGAAGCAGACTGTAAAATCGGCATCCTTAAATACACTTGTATGATGGGTCCTTATTCTGGCTCCCTAAGAGGCAGAGCCTGTGGTAAGTGATTCCATGCTGCTACTTTACTCAGGAGTGCAATCCAGGGGAGCAGGAGAAAGAGAAACTGGGGTGAGGCAGAGAAGGAGGAAGAACAAACAGGAGGGTAGACCACTGCTTGGTTTCATTCTGGCTTACTGCTTGATCATGCAGTACTGTCTTCTAAGAGGATATGTTGAGAACTGCCTCTCTAAAAAGTCCCTCCAGGAGGAGAAAGGGAGAAGAACTAGTTTATCAACCATTGATAAAGGTTCACTGCCTGGAAAGTTCACTTCCCAGCTCTTCTTAGTTGCATGGTGTCTTATGCCTCTGTGGCAACAGCAGAGAGGCCAGAGTACCACGTTTGGCAAGGTGCCATTGGCTCATGGTCACATGAAGCTGTGGACACAATGGGGAAGAGTAGAGCCTGTGAAAAACTGGTTGCAGTGGTGGCACCTGGGGTGAAACCAGAGGTCAAGAACTTGAGGAACAGAGGAGGCAGGAGGTGAAGTGGAGCATAAGAGATGTTGATACAACTATCAAGTAAGGTAAACCAGGCAGTTGACATACACAGAGTTCATTCATCTTTTTACTGTCACCAAATACAAAGCTATCTCTATGTATAAGCCCATAAGTGTGAAACCTAAGTATGCACAAGTAGACACCATCCCTGAAAGTTACTAAGAAGTTATTGGGAGAGTCTTTTCTTAACAGGAAGACATAATCAAATTAAGTGAGCAGAATAAAAAATCAAAGGACTATGAAAGCACAGGTAATCACTTGAGTAACCTGTATGAAAAGGGCCAAATAATAGAGAACAAAGGACTTATCAGATGCATACAAACCATTCTTAAATTATAATTCACGCTAGGTTTGGGGCACATCTATAGTAATATGTAAAACCACTGCCTCCATATTGTAAAATGAGGGCCAAGTTATAATTTCAGACAGAGGAAGGGTGGCAGAAGAAGAGGCAAATAAGGAAGGCAGAGCAGTATCAGTCACCTGCTCTAGAAGCTGGGGCTCAGAAGCCTTAGTAATTCCAGTGACACTGTCAATGAGAGTGATAATGAACATTATTAAAGATGCAGCATCTATGTTTTCCACATAAATCCCTTACAATACCTCCCCTATAAGCTCCATGACTATATAAGCAGTGACAAGTAGGAAATAACTTACTGGAAATCATGGATTAATGTTGGAAACTTTCAGAAGAAGTACATTCATTCAACAAACATTTATTGAATGGACACTATATGTTAAATTCAGAGCTAGGCACTGGGATTACTTTGGATTATAAAATCATGATCCATGGTCTCTAGGGGCTGAGTCTAGAGCAGTTGTGACAAATAGGCTTCATCTTCTGAGGTCATATCTAAATTCTTCATGAAAGATTTGCGTCAACAATTGGCAATTTCTTTCCTGGGCACTGGGACAAGGACCAGTAGCATATATGCCATATATTTCATATCTCTTGAGACATTCAAATGTATTTAATCCTCTGAATGGTGGTGCATCTTCCAGAAGGCCATAAGGATTTGAGCTGAGAAGTTCTTGAGTTCAAAAAAAAAAAAAAAAAGGATGCCCAAAAGAATCCAATTGATGAGGGGAAAACAGTTATTCAAACAGCAGATGGTAGTCTGGTGGGCTGTCCCTCTGTCCACAGGGTTCCTGCAGCAACTCTCCCCCTGAAACAGTGATAATTTCCTCCTGGGGAAAAAAAAGAAATATTCACTTATAATCAAGAAAAAAAATAGGATCCACCAGAGAGAAACCAGTTCAAGAGAGAAAAATTAAGAATATGTTTCTGCCTACTCCTCACTAAAATTTCTAGAAATCACAGAAAAAATCTGCTTTTAAAAATAAATAAATTTATAAAAGTATAAATTTATAAAAGTGGACAAATAAGAAAAGCCATCAACAAAGCAAAAATGTTGAGAAGTCCTTAAAAACCAAGAGATGTACAGGGTGAGATTTTCAGAGGAGTTAATATGGGACAAGGGCTACAGCAAGCTATCACTGGGATGTGTTGGCGACCCCCAGACAGCAGAGGCCTTTGTCTTAGGCAGGGCAGAAGGTGAGGAGAGGAACACAGAGACCCACAAAGTTCAGAAACTCCCATTTCCAAAACATGAACTACTCGTTATCAACTCCAACACTAATAGCATAAAGAGACTGGACAAGGAAACAGGAACTGTATCTGTGATGGATAAACAAGAAATTCAAAGTTGAAAGATCACCTCCCAGCTCAAAATTTATAAATATTTAAGAAAAATCATAGCCATGAAAGAAAGGTGCCGACCTCATCAACAGAACTAACTCCCAAGAAAACATCAAGTTTGTAAAACAAGCAGAAAGAGCCTTTAAGAGATGTGAATTAATCTCCTCAGTGGAATAAGAAGACAAATCATCCATGAAACAAGAATGAGCTATAATTAAAAAAAAAAAGAATACCTGAAAATAAAAAGGATGCCCACTTAAATTACATAGAAAATTGTAATAGAAGAACTGAAGAGCAAAATATAAACATAACTAAAGGGCAATTTAGTCACTGGAAGAATTGACACAATTAATAAGAAAGAGACTTTTAAGAGGAAAAATGGACAAAGGATATGAACAGACAATTCACAGGAGAAATCCAAGTGGCCATTAAACATATGAAAAGAGCTTCAGCATCAGACAAATGCAAATTAAACAACAGTGAGATTCAGTGTCTGCCCATCTGATGGGGGAAAAAATGTAAGGGACTGATAATCTCCAGTGTTGGCAAGAGTGTGAGGAAGCAGCCTCATATACTTTTTGGCAGGAGCATGAATTGGCACTAGATTTTTGGAGGGCAATCTGGCAGATATTTTCAAATTAAAATGTGCATAGTCTTCTATCCAGCAATTCCAATTCAAGGGATCCATCCTAGAGAAATACTCATACATGTGCCCAAAGTGGCATACACAAGCAAGTCTCTGCAGCACTGTTTGTGATCAGGAGAACCTAGAAGCTACACACGTGGCCCTCATAAGGAGGGTAGATAACTAAATTATGCATCCATACCATGGAGTACCACAGGTTTTCACAAGGATGCAGTACATAGATTGACATGCACATACCTCAATAACAGCCAACATCCTGATAACTTACAAATGTCAGGTATTTTAGTGATATCTCATTGAAACCTCACAGTGACCCTAATAGGTGAATGCTATTATCACACACACCCATCTCACTGAGAAGGAAACTAAGGCACTAGAGTCTGAGTAGTTGCCCAAAGTCACACACAGTAATGAAGCTGGGATTAAAACTTGGCAGCCTGATTCCAGGGACCACACTTCTACAAAATACATTCTATGATATATTAAGCATGTTTAAAATCAAATTCTTGAGCTATTGGTAAAGGATTATCCAATTTGCATAAAAATAAAATGCTATGTATTTTCTTATGTACATAAATTTCCATGTTAATGCCCAGGAAATACTTTGGTTAGGTACATGGCACACTGGTAATTCAGGATGGAGGATGCAAACCAGGATTTGAAATGAACAATGCTTACACTTTGTATTATATTTGATTTTTCTTAGAATTTAATCATAAATTAATTGTGTAATTAAAATTTCAATTTATAAGACTGGCCACCAGACCTCTACATGGGCATAAATGAGCTCTCTCTTTAGCATTACAATAAATTGGAAGTCTCAAACCTTAGATTTGGAAAATAATCTAAATATAAACACTTTCAAAGACATGTGGTTTAGCCTTCCTATTCAGGAACCTGTCCACAGCATCTCTGAGAGATGGACATTTACTTTTTGATTGAATATTTCCAAAGACACAGAGCTCACCACTGCTCAAACAGCTTATCTTGAACAGGAAAAGCAAGTCGGGTGGTATAGTGGGGAAAGCACAAGCTTCAGAGGCACACACCTAAGCCTTAACTGCCAGACCCAGCTGGTACCAGCCATGAAAACTTAGACAAGTTACTCATTCTCCCTTTCCTGATCTGTGAAATGGGACCAATATGCCTCCCTCACAGAGCTATGGTGAAAATTAAATGAGAATATAGGCATAGAGCAACAGGCACAGCACTTGACAGAGAGAAGGTGCTGATATCCACACGTCCCCTCCCTTTCTTTCTCCTATAGTTGTTAGAAGGCTCTTTCTGATCTGCCTCCATCCTGGTTAGTCTAGTTTTCCAGGAAGTACTTTCCTCCAAGCATCTAGGTATTTGTAAGTGGGTGGTTTTCTATGTACTTAAAAGATCAGGTTAAGAGTTATCCTAGAGTTCTGTGGACACCCATAAAGAAAAAGCTATACAAATCCAAGAGTCCCTATTATAGCAAAATCCCAGTGAGGCAGTCAAGTAATTCTGTGGACCTTTCTACACTTGCAAGGCTCAGGCAGATGGAGGACCCCCTGAGCTACCACATTTCTGTTTCTCGGAATCCCTGGGTCCTGCCCTTCTGAGTTCCACTTTTGTCTTCCTCCAAATTACTACTGATGCCAACAGCCACATTAACAAAGAAATTGCTTCTTTCTACATACATTATTTAGAAGGCATCTTTTTCAAAGTGAGGTCCACAGCAGGGGAACAAATAACAAAAAGAGTTCTGGGAGATAAGAACTTCCATACCACTTTACAGTTAGAGTGCTGTTATTGAATACATACATTCCCTCATTTAATACTCATAGGGTCTGAGCTAAGTATTATTAACATCCATTTGCCCAGCTATGAAACTAAAGCTCAGTGAGACTAAGGAATCTGCCCAAGGTCACACACATACAAAGCAGTAAAGCTATAGTCAGAACAAGAGACATGGTAACTCCACAAGGAAAGCCTCTCTAACCACAGGTTTGCTTGCTAGGTTTCAACTAACTCTACAAAGCTGCAAGAGGCCTTTCCAGACTGTCCCCAAGAGAGACATCCTGGGAATGAGTTGGGAATGAGAACTGGTCTTGGACAGAAGGCTGGTTGACCAACCTCTAAGTTCTGACACTAAGGAGCACTCAGGTACTCAAGATGAGAGAAAGGCTGGAGAGCCTCCTGAGGTGCCTAAATGGGTCAGAGGGAAAGCCAGAGGGAAGACCTACATTGCCTGGTCTAGACAACCTCTGATCCCTTCTGGCCCGATGCTGCATATCCCTGGGGACCTGTGTACTCACTCTCCATCCCCATCTATTAGAAGGCCTGCAGCCTGGCTCTCCCTTCATCTGAAGTTTCTACCATCTTCATCCCCTCGACCAGAGCCTCTAAGAGCACTACCTTGTGGAAATCAATGAGATCGGTGAGTGTGGCATGGCGATTGGGGTCCACTCCCAGGAAGCTGTAAAAATCCCCAGAGGCATCCACAAGAAAGTGCTTGAACCCTTTCTGCAGGCGATAGGACAAGGTGTATCCCCAGATTTTCTCACTGATCCGCACCAGAAATGCTCCCTCAGTCATGTTCTCAAGGAGACCTTCTGCATCTTCTCGGCTAATAATTCCTGATTTAAAAAAGAAAGCAAGAAAGGTTAGCAGGTTCTGTAACTTCCTTCACCACCCTCCACTGATCACCCTGCCCCTCAGCCTCTGTCAAAGGAAGGGAGGGGCCTCAAGGGCTGTCTAACATTTGCCTCAGGCTGATGAGGGGCCAGCTTGGTCCAGAGCAATGAACTGTCAGCCTGGGGGCAGAGTTTCTACAGGACCTGAGCTTAGCACCCTTTCCTCTGAATTAAGCCACACTAATTTAGATTCATTACAAAGAATTAGTAATGACCCAGAATTATAGCACCTATTGATTACAAATACAACTCATCAAGCAGTGCCCTGTGGAGAGCCTTAAGAGTCCTACTTTAATGATGAGACCAGGATGACTTATTATTCCTGCCCCAGTTATCTCTCTGGTAAATAAGCACCTGAAAACATTATTTCCTCTTAAGTAGTAAAAAGACTTCTTCTGTCTACCTGTGGACAGTAGGCAAACAGTTTCTTAATGGAGATACATAAATAAGCTTCACTTCAGCTAAAAGAACAAAATTTTCTCAGATTCTGCAATCCTACTCAATGTCCTTTTACCACAGTAAAACAGCAAGTTAGAAAAACATCTCTGAGTGCCTGAATTAGAAAGCAATGTCTCTCTGGGCCAAAATGGCAAAGCTCACATTCTGTATTTCAATTCTTCCTCCTCCCAACTAGCCCTGCCATTGGCAGGATCCTTTCATTCAGTGTACAACCTGCTCAACCCTACCAGGAAATAGTTTCTATCCCAGGAACCTGCAGGGGATATCCCACCTTGGGGTTTTCATAAAATCCTGCCCAGACCTTACAATATATTAGTAATGGGTCCTGAATAGCTCAAAGAGAGAGCCTGTGGCCACTGTGGGAGCAAGCTGCTCAGGCCTCCAGCTGCTACATTTTCAGGATCCATTGCTGAGGCACTCTCTCCGCAGGCTGCTTCCAGCACAAGGGACACTGGATTGAGCAGCCCCTGACTCAGAGCATGGCAGGTTCTATGACTGAGCACAGGGGTACAGAGCTGCCACTCCTACCAATGTGGGTCTCTTCTAGTAGGCAGTGTTTGCACTGGGGCTTCCCATCAGCCAGACCTGGATTTTCCCTGAGCTGTGCTCCAGTACCAGGCCTTTCCTCCAAATTGTTCTTCCTTCTCTCTCTCCCTTCATAGGTGTCAGACCTGCACCATGTCTGAAGAATCTCCCACCTTCTCCTGCTCCATGTCCCCTTTATCCTTCACAGGCACTTCCAGCAATAAATCTCTTGTACTTCTGCTTCCTGGAAGACCCAAATGAACATCAAAACCTTGTCTTTGCACCCCAAGTGCCTGGGATGTAGGGGGGTTGATTTGGAGCAGAGATCAAGTGCACGGACTAAAATCAGAGCTCAGGGACTTGCTCAGTAGGTACCCTTAGTCAGGCTACTTAAGTCCCTCTAAAACCCAGTTCAATGTCCTCATCTATTAAGCAGTACTGATAATATTACCTACATTATAAGATTGTTTGAGAACTCATTATATTAATCCTTCAATGTGCTTATCACAGTGCTTGAAAGTATAATACCTATCTAATACAATGCAACTCATTTGCATTGGACTCATTAAGCATACTACACATGTGCTAGTTACAGGTGCTACCTTGTGCTGGTAGCAGCAATACTCAGTGCTGCCAGGCTGTGCTGCTCACACCTCACACAAGAATCCTTTCAAAGAAAGACTGATGAGGGTGCCTTCCTCTGAAGGGGGCTGTCCTTGGGCCCCAGCCTGGGCCATTCTTAGGAGACCCTCTAGACGTCTCAGTAGTAAGCATCTGTGTAATCTCCCCCCTCTTTGGTATTTACCTAGAAAGAAAAATTGTTATTTGGCCCAGATCAAAGGTGATACAGCCTCATAGTTCAGGCTGACAAAAAACATTTCACAGAAACCCCAACCCCCAAGAGAACTGGTTGGTGGCTGGGGGAAATAGAATACTTGCAAGGATAACCTGTTATGTTTTTTCACTTCATCCACTCTGCCCACCCCATCTCCCCACCTCACCTTGCCTTCCCCCTTCACATAGCCTCTAAGCCAAGTATTCTGGGAACAAAGCATTAATCATATCCCACCCCATCCCACCTCTGCCCCTCTTAAACACTGTACAATCTCCTGGCTAAGAAAAGAGGAGAGCTCACCTCACCCCTTCTGGCTGGGGAGAGAGCACACCATACAGATCATAAAAGTTTTGTAACTCAGCTAATGACCAGGGCTGGCTGAGGCATGTGATCTTACCAGACAATGGTCTGGAGTGGTTGTTCTAGAATGATTACTGGAGAGTACAACTGCAGATTCTTTCTGAGACAATTCTCAACCCCAAGCAATAGAAAATGTAAGTTTTTTTCCTGTAGTTTTTCTCCTCCCTTTATTTTTCCTTTATTCCTTTCTTCCCTTTAATCGATATTTATTAGGCACTATCTAGGAGCAGGCCCCATGCTGCACACTTAGAAGTCAGCAATGACTGAATGAGAAACAGTTCCTGCCTTACAGAACCTCTGACTCTGGACAGAAAAAAAAGATTAGTGTAAATTTTAAAAATAAATAAATATATATAAATCAATAGGTTTACTGTAACCAGTGGTTATAAAGGCCACAAGAGGTATGGCCTCAGTTGCTATGGTTATATCTAGAGAAGGTGCCCCACCCAGCTCTGGAGTCTGGGGATGGAAGTGAAAGTTAGACTGAGAACAGAAAAGTTAAAACAGAGGGGCAAGGCCAGGAGAGCAGTTTGCACATGGCTCTTTGTGGCTGGAGGGAAAGCTAAAGTAGTGGTGAGGCAGTGGCAAGATGCATGGAGATAGTCAAGGATATGGCTCCAAAGCACCCTCCACATCGTTAAAAGAATATAGGCTTAATTCTGAGGGCAATGGGGATATACTAATGTTTCCCAAATAGAAGAACATGAGAATGTTCAAGGGTGGAAAATGGATTCAATGGGTATAAACTGGAGGTATACAAGCCAGGGATTTCAACCTAGTAAAGGCTTTCTCATCTAAGGATTACTTCACAGCTACATTTCCAAAGCTGTTGCATTGAAATCCAGCTCCTGGGCCACTGGGCAGCCAGAAATGGCTTCCATTTTGAGGCTGAGAGGCAAAAGGACCCAATAAGAGTCACATGAGAAGCTTTATGCCAGAGCCAGAACTGGGTACCATCTGGGCACCCTGTGGCTCTCATCTCATCCGTCTTCCTAATGACCCTACCATCATCAGTTCATAACTAAAGACACTGAGGGTCAACAAGAGCAGTGACTTACCCAAGGTCACAGAGCAATTAAGTGGTAGAGCCATAATTTGAACTCAGGTCCTCAGACTCCAAGTCCAGTGCTCTTTGCTCTATACCATGTTATCTCATGAAGAGGACAGTAAGTGCTGTGAAAGACACAAGAAGGAGGAGATTAATGAGGCCTATGGAAGTCAGGACAGGTTTTGTAGAAGCAACACAGGGGGCTGTGAAGTGGACCTGGAAGGCTTGGTAGACTCTGTGAGCAGTGAGGAGTGATGATAAGGTGAAAAATGAGAAGAAAGAATAAGGTGAATGAAGAGTCACAGTGAACACTAAGAAAGACACATCCATGGAACATTTATAAAAATGTAATGGAAGAGAAGTTTAATCTAAGCAGGAGGTTAAGAGACATGGAAGAGGAAGTGAAAAGTCTAACACATGTAAAATCTGAATCACAAAGAGGAGAGGAGAATGGAGAGGAGGCAATATTTAAAGAGCAAATGGTGGAGAATTCATTAGAGACACATAAAGTGAAGCTGCACAAAGCTGCTCAGTCTCTCATTTTGTCAACTAGAGAGAAAAGGCAGAGTACCTACAAAGAAAATACAATTAAGACTAATGACTGAACTTCCAGCCAAGATGGAGGCATAGGTAGACGCACTGTGCCTCCTCACACAAGAAAAAGAAAGATGACAGCAAATTGAAAAAAAACAAAAACAAAAACAGAACTGACAGGAAATCAAACTATATGGAAGTCCAACAACCAAGGAGTTGAGGAAGAAATATTCATCCAGACCACTAGGAGGGGCAGAGACCAGCAGCCAGGCAGAGAGAACTCATGGCAAGGCGACAGCTGAAGGACTGGGATAGGTGGCAGCTCACAGACTGGGCTGTCCCACGTTTGCATGTGGATTAACCAGGAAGAACAACTGAAGAGCGGAGATAGGCCTCGCGACCCAGGGTCCCAGCTTGGGGAAATAAAGCCTCAAAGCCTCTGACTGAAAACATTTGTGGGGGTTGAGGCGGCAATGATAGAAACTCCCAGCCTCCAAGGAGAGTTCATTGGAGAGACCCACAGGGTCCTAGAACATACACAAACCCACCCACCCAGGAATCAACATCAGAAGGGCCCAATTTGATTGTGGGTAGTGGGGGAAGTGACTGAAAACCAGTAGAGATTAGAGCAAGCAGTGTTGTTCCCTCTCAGACCCCTCCTCCACATACTGTGTCGCCACACAGTGATGTGGGTTGCCCCACCCTGGTGAACATCTAAGGCTCTGCCCCTTACTACATAACAGGAGCATCAAGATAAAAAAAAAAAAATGGCCCAAATGAAAGACCAGATCAAAGCTCGAGAAAAAAATACAACTAAGTGACACTGAAGAAATAGCCAATCTATCAGACGCACAGTTCAAAACATTGGTAATCAGGATGCTCACAGAATTGGATGAATATAGTCACAAATTAGAGGAAAAAAATGAAGGCTATGCTAAGTGAAATCAAGGAAAACGTACAGGGAACCAACAGTGACGGGAAGGAAATCGGGACTCAAATTAATGGTATGAACCAGAAGGAAGAAAGAAACATTCAACCAGAACAGGATAAAGAAACAAGAATTCAAAAAATTCTTGACTGAACTTCCTGAAACACTTGACTGAAATTCTTGGAGAGTCTTAGGAACCTCCAGGAAATCTCTAACATGTTCCAACATCTGAATCATAGGGGTGCCAGGAGGAG